GCTAATTGGTAAGGAAGCTGGACCTTTGGGCTTACTACCAGTAGTCGAAGAATGTGATGACGAAATCGATAGGGAAACTTTAAGAAAACAGGCTTCACAAAATATGGTAGAGAGAGCACGATATGATAAAAACAGATTCGATAGCAATAGCGCAAAAATTATTAAACATAAGTTGGGTGATCACGTATTACTTAAAAATGAGGAGCGTCATCAAACCAAGTTAGACCCTAAATTTAAAGGACCCTTTGAGATCATTGAAATACTAGATGGAGATAGATATTTGTTAAAGTCTTTAACAAGTAAGCGAACTTACAAATATTCTCATGAATTTTTAAGGGCTATGCCAAATAATCAGTTAATAACCGAAGATAGAGACAGCATTATGGAAAATGCGTCTGAAGCTATGGAAAATGAGACCGCACCATAACAGAAGAACTTGTTATGGCGGGGGTCAAGAGAATAAAATTATGTAAAGTGTAAGAAAGATGTAAGAAATTAACGAAATGAAATGAGATGAAATGAACGAACAAAAATGTGTTAAAGGAATTACACAAAAATGTAAATGTGTTAAAGGAATTACACAAAAATGTAAATGTGTTAAAGGAATTACACAAAAATGTAAATGTGCTAAAGAAACTACACTGATGAGAAATTTTTTAAACAATGAAAAATGTAATTTTGATTTAATTTCGTAAATGAAAATTCGATAACTTGGTTAAGTTTTGTTAACTGTAAATAAAAAAAAAGATAATTTATTTAAGTGGTTTTGGTTAAAAATAAGCGAGATTAAGCACACGAGGACGTGTGAGTGGTCAGGAAGGCCGTGTCAGCGAATTAGTTGCTAAGTGAAAAACTGCTTAGTCATGCTAAGGAATGAGCCCTGGAATGCTTGTTTTCATGGCAACAGAATAATTCGGCATTCTCTGGTATTTGAGTCCTGTTAGCTTGACAGGTGTCGCCGGCGCGCAGGCGCAATGACAGTTGAGCATGTAACAGGACAAGGACAGAAGACAGTCTATTACTGAGTGAGGTCCGTTCGTCTGTCGCAAGAGAGAGAGAGAGAGACAGGTAGACATTGCCTAGGATTGTCGTTTGAGTGAAAGTGAGAAAAAGGTGAAAGGGTAAAAGGAAAAGTGGCGTGATACACATTCTCTTGGAGACGGCGAAGACGAACGGAACTAACTAGCTCAACGATGGCTGAGGAGATTATTCGTTCGTACACATGCATACACTTTTAGCCCTAAGCGAATGTACACACACACTAAGATAATCTGTGATATACAGGATACACAAAAAAAGAGAAGTAAAGAATAAAGAACAGTCTTGCCAGTGATCTGAAGCAGAACGGTCGTCATTATTGCTGCTACAATATCAGAAGTGGGCACAGAACCTCGTGCCAATGGCCATTCCTGCAAGATTTTATAACAAACACTATCTCTATACTGGATCCGGTTAACGCGAATGATTTTTCGGTTAACCAACTGTGCAATTGGTGTTCGGTCCTAAATTTGGCCACTCACGGCAGTAAGAGCACGTTGGCAGCAAGATTGAGTGAAGTGCACTTTCGCGGAAAATGTCCAAGTATGCCAAACGAAACATGTTCCAATAAACAGCGACAAGCAACTTCAAACGAAGCGGCGAATGCAGAGAATGTTCCAGAATTAGACAATAAATCAAACGAAACGGCGAATGCAGAGAATGTTCCAGAATTATATGAAAAATCAAACGAAACAGCGAATGCACAGAATATTCCAGAAACAGACGAGAAAGCAAACGAAGCGTCGATAAAGGAACGAGAGGAAGAATCGAACGAAGCGGCGTTAAACGAACGTGAGGGAAAAGCAAACGAAGCGGCGATGAACGAACGAGAGGAAGAATCAAATGAAATGACAAACGACGGAGAAGGAGAAGCATCAAACGAGATGTAAAACTGCGATGAAGACGGAGAATCAGAGGAAGATGCAAACGACGAGCCAAATGATGAGTATGAAGAAGCAGATCCAAACGAAGGAAAAGGAAAAGCAGAACCAAAAAGAGCGGCTAAAAACGAGCTGAAAAATCTAGAAAAATCTGGAAAAATACGGAACAAAGGAGAGAATGCAAATGACGAAAAGAAAGTGTATATTTTAAACGACATGCAACGAAAATTGGCGATTGAAAATGATTTGCAAAAGGAGAAATTAAAATTAATGACCAGAGAATTGGAGCTGATGCATTTTGAGAGAGAGCTACTGCGGAGGGAGAACGAATTATTGAGAGCATCTGAGAGAGTGAGTGAGAGAGAGACATCGGTCAGAGTTACGAAAGATGATAAAATTCTGTTTCAAAGCATAAAGGAAATGCTGCCAGATTTCGACGGAAAAACAAATGTTAGTGTATGGCGCACACATATAAACGTATTAAAAATAACGTATGTATTGACAGAAAATAAGCTTCGGTCGCTCATATTTAACAAAGTTAAAGGTGATGCGCAAGCCTGGGTGTACTCAAAGCCTGAGCTTGCAAATCAGAAGGTTGATACCCTGTTGACATCGATGGAGAAAGTATTTCTACCAAAAGAAAGTGCCATTACACTGCGCAAGAAGCTCGAAGCACGCAAATGGCAAACAAACGAATCGTTCACTGATTACTTTAATAATAAAGTAACACTGTCAAATGGATTAGAAATGCCAGAGTGCGAGTTAATTGATTACATCATCCACGGTATACCCGATCGTCAAATACGCACAAGCGCCAACATGATGTGTTTTAAGGAGAAGGATGCCCTACTGTCAGCCTTACAGCATGTAAATTTAGTAGCTCCAAGATCTGGAGGGGCTACTAATAACTCAGGGAAAATCGAGAAGCCAGTTTTCCGCTGCTACAATTGCAATTGTTTGGGACATATCGCCTCAGATTGCCGCAAACCGAAAAGAGAAGTTGGAGCCTGTTTTGTGTGCGGAAAAATGGGTCACCCTGCTGCGACCTGTGAAGAAAACAAGAAAACGTCGTTCCCAGCCACTCGCAGAGATGATTATGTAAGATATTTAAGTATGGAAATAGAGGGTAGTTCTTATGAACCTTTTTTATAGAATGCCTCTTAGACTCAGGGAGCCCAATCAGCTTTATGAAGAAAAATTGTGTTCCGGCTAGCGTTATTTTGAAGTCAGCGCCACCAGCCACGTATTTTGGTTTAAACTTCAGCCAATTAATTATCATTGGAAAAATTGTTGTTTTCATTACAATTTATAATAAAAGAATAAAACTTGGAATGTTAGTTGTTGAAAACGATTCAATGAATGGAAAGGTTATCTTGGGTAGAGATTTTCTAAATGCGAGTGGCGCTGGCATCGTCTGGGATGAAGATGAGATTATTTCAACAAATGAAAGTACAAACGAAAGTATGATTATAAATAACTCGAATGACATGATTAGATTTGATAGTGAAGACGATTTTCTAGCAAAAATTTGCATGATTGAGTATGAGAATAATAATGAAAACGTTAATGTAGGGGTAAATTTAAATGCATATGATAAAGTTCTTTTTGAAAATATGTTTCACAAATGTTATATCGGGGCTGCTCGACCAACTATGCCAGAAACAACGTGCGAAATGAGCTGTAGCCTCAGACGCCGTATGCTGAGAAAACTGAACTGCAAAAGATTTTGGATGAATATATTGCCAAAGAATATATTAGACCCAGCGAGTCTGAGTTTGTGTCGCCGATTGTACTAGTGAAGAAAGCAACTGGCGAAATTAGAATGTGTATTGACTTTAGGAAAATGAATAAATTAACAGCAAAGGACAGTTATCCCATTCCATTGATAGATGACCTCTTAGATCAAATGACAGATAAGAAATGGTTCACTAAGCTAGACCTAAAGAATGGATTCTACCATGTTTTTATGCAAGAGGAATCGGTGAAGTTCACTTCGTTCACGACACCTCTTGGCCAGTTTAAGTTTCTAAGAATGCCTTTTGGGCTGAAAAACGCACCATCTACGTTCCAGAGGTTTATTAATAAAGTCTTAAGTGACCTAATTAGAGAAGGAAAGGTTATTGTTTACTTAGATAACATAATGATAGCAACGAAAGACGTAAAGAGCCATCTGAAAATTTTAAATGAGGTGTTTGACAGACTAGTAGGTAATAATTTAGAATTGACGCTTAGTAAGTGTGAGTTTTTTCAAACGGAAGTCAAGTATCTAGGGTATACGATTAATGGGTTTGGCATCAAAGCTGATGGTAAAGGCATATCCGCTGTTAAAAATTTTCCAATTCCGACAAAAACTAGAGAGGTACAAAGTTTTCTAAGACTTTGTTCCTATTTTCGCAGGTTCATTAAAGACTTTTCAATTGTGGCGAAGCCTTTATACGATGTTACGAGAAAGAAGGAAAATTTTCGGTTTGGGGAATTGGAGCTAAAGACGTTTGAAGTTTAAAAGAAAAAGTTAATAGACTCACCAATACTTGCTTTGTACAGCCCAACAGATGAAACCGAACTGCACTGCGATGCGAGTTCGATTGGTTTTGGGTCAATATTGATGCAAAAGAAAAGGGATGGGCGTTTTCACCCGGTATTTTATTTCTCTAAGCGTACAACTGATGCTGAGTCGAGGTACCACAGTTTCGAGTTAGAAACGTTGGCAATAATTTATTCACTCAAACGATTTAGAGTATATTTGCACGGAATAAGTTTTAAAATTGTCACGGCTGCAATTCTCTTGCACTCACGTTAACTAAAAAAGAGATAAACCCTAGAAAAGCACGATGGGCTCTAGAGTTAGAAAACTATGATTATAGGCTAGAACATAGGTCTGGTATTAGAATGCAACACGTAGATGCCCTCAGTAGATGCACTAACATTATGGTAGTAGATACAAACTCGTTCGAAGAAAATCTGATTATATGCCAAAACAAAGATGAGAATATAGTCAGCTTGAAGAATTTACTAGAAAAAAATGAACACAAACTGTATGAGATGCGAAATGGAATCATTTATAGGAAATATCATGATTCTTTATTGTTTTACGTTCCAAAAGATTTGGAAACGCATGTACTTTTTAAATACCACAATAGTCTTGGACACGTTGGTATCGATAAAGTTCTGGAAGTTATTTTGAACCAGTAGGTCGGTTCCCTAAAATAAAGCAAAAGATAGGACAGCATATCAAAAATTGTTTAGAATGCATTGCATTTACAGCTAAAGGCAAGCACGAAGGCTATTTACACAATATTCAAAAACCTACAAAACCGTTTGAACAGGTACATATTGATCATTTAGGACCAGTTAATACGAAAGATAAGAAGTCAAGACATATTTTAGTGATTGTTGATTGCTGCACAAAGTTCGTTAGATTATATTCTACAAAAACCACAAAGACAACTGAAGCGATTGCAGCGTTGGGAAACTATTCTAGATCATATAGTATCCCCAAAAGTATAGTATCTGATCGAGGTTCCTGTTTTACCTCCTCAGAATTTTCAGCTTTTTTAAGGCTTCGCAATATAACTCATACACAAATAGCAACAGGTTCACCCGAGGCTAATGGACAGGTAGAGCGGATAAATCGAAGTATAGGCCCGATGCTTGCGAAATTATTGAGCTCAGAGCCGAATTGGGGTTTTTATAAAGATTCTAGAGGAAATTGAGTTTGCCATAAATACAGTTCATAGAATGATTAATCAACATCCAAGTGTAATGTTATTCGGAGTCGGACAGAGAGGGAGTTTAGTTGACTGCCTTAAAGAAAAATTAACAGGAAGGACAAAAGGAAGGAAGAACAATTGAAAGTATTAGGGAGAATGCCCAAGAAAGAGAAGCCCAATTACAAAATTATAATGAATCAACAAAAAATAGCAAACGGCTGAAGGCAACACTATATGAGCAGGGAGACTATGTTGTAGTTTTTTTTATATAAGTTCATATTTATTTATATGTTAATCAACCAAAGCAATGATTATAAAACGTAGGGACTTTTTTTTTTATACCCCTTGCAGGGTATTATAATTTCAGTCAGAAGTTTGCAACGCAGTGAAGGAGACGTTTCCGACTCTATAAAGTATATATATTCTATAAAAAATTATAACTTCGTTGTTTTTAAACGTATTTTAATCTAATTTGAGACATGAGCTTCTGGTATTATTTCAGAATTTTGGTATAAATTTTATGAAAATCGGACAACTATATCTTATAGCTGCCATAGGAACGATAGGGAAAGTAATAGACATATTTCAGAATTTTGGTAACAATATTATGAAAATCGGACAACTATATCATATAGCCATAGAAGCGATCCGTAGATGTAGAGAAAATGTATAGCTGGGAATGAATAACTGTAACTGTCAAACTGTAAACATAATAAGTATAGGTAAACTGTTATGAAACTCTATTTAGTGTCTGTTTTCGGCATTATAATCTATATATATAAAAATCAATTGCTGTTCGTTAGTCTCGCTAAAACTCGAGAATGGCTGAACGGATTTATCTTATCTTGGTCTTGAATTATTCGTGGAGGTCTAGGGAAGGTTTAAAAGGTGAGAAAAATTCGAATAATTGCCGGGAAAATCCTCAAAACAGTATTTTTCTATTTCCCATACAAACGTTTTCTAAATAAAATGGAGAGTCAATTTGTAATTTATTACCGCTGTATAAAGTTCAAATTCGCATGCGCGTTGGAGGATCTAATATCGCGTTCCGAAACTCAACAAAAGTGAAAGTGAATCGCGAACGCGACAAAATTGCATAGTCTCACAGCTTCATATAGCTTCGAGAAAATTAATTTTAGCTAACTTCAGTTGTTAATCTGTCTTTTGTTTTTAATAAGACTATATAGAAATCGAAAGATAAATCTTAAGTTTTGTCACAAACGTTAAATTATAAATCTTAAGTTAAATTTCTGAACGCAATCATAATATTTGACATTAGATTTGACAACCAACTAATATGTCAATCCATCCTGTCTGTCGCTTTTCAGTCAGAATGGCAGTTTCGGCAGGACAAGGAGGAATCTTCTTTTTTATGCACTCCTCCGAAACGGCTTTACCGATTCTCATGAAATTTAGTGTGCTTATGCAGTTTGGTTCAACTTGAGAGATAGGATAGCTAAGATCTTTTACATCATGGCAGTTTCGGCAGGACAAGGAGGAATCTTATTTTTTTATGCACTCCTCCGAAACGTTTTTACCGATTCTCATGAAATTTAGTGTGCTTATGCAGTTTGGTTCAACTTGAGAGATAGGATAGCTAAGATCTTTTACATCATGGCAGTTTCGGCAGAACAAGGAGGAATCTTCTTTTTTATGCACTCCTCCGAAACGGCTTTACCGATTCTTATGGAATTTAGTGTGCTTATTTAACCAAATCTTTATGCTTTGCTCGGGCTATTTTGTTGATGAGTTTGCACCAAATTGGTTGAGCGGTTCTTCACGTATTACATATTTTGTAATATATTATTTCAATAAATCGCATTTCGTCAGAATGTCTTTTCTTTTATTGTCATTTGTCATTCATAATTATTGTTTTGTGTTTATAAGTGGTGAGTCTCTAAATTATCATTTGAAATACATTAAGAAGGTAAGATAATATTTTCAGCAAAATGCTACCGAAAAGATCGAATCTCAACAACGTAAGCAGCAGAGTGGCACGACGCAGACGTTTCGAAAGAGCTCATCAGTTGCCAGAACAAGTCAATACAAGAAATAGAGCTCAAAGAATTAGGACAGCAGAAGGTCGTGCACAAGAATCCCAGGAACAGCGTAGCGAACGTCTGCAGCAGAATATTACGAGAATCAGGGCGGCTCGAGATAGAAACATAGATATGTATAGTACGAGCACAAGTACGACAAAGGCAGCGGAACAGTCGCTCATTAGTTCGTACATCATTCGTTCGTCTTGCTTTTGAATATGCACCAGATATTAACTACTTTGCGCATTCAAAAATTGCTATCGGTGGAATGGACAAAGTATGTCAATATTGTCAAGCGTTTAAATTTCGGAATGAAACTGCCGGTATGTGCTGCGCAGCAGGAAAAGTCGTTTTGCAACCTCTACTTGCTCCGCCAGAACCTTTATTATCCCTTCTTGCTGGAAATTCAAATGACTCAAAATTATTTTTGCGTAAAATACGCAAATTTAATAGTTGCTTCCAAATGACGTCATTTGGGGCCACTAAAATTTGTGATCTTGCATCCGATGGACGTATTTTTGAAACTACATTCAAAAATACAAGGCCAGATGTACCACAAACTTGGATTATTGATGCCTGATGATAATCCGAAATTTCTTCAAATTTATTTTATGGGCAATTGTGAAGAGCGCGTAACGACCCGATGCCAGTATCATTTTATTGAACAAGCAGAGGAAGCGGTTTAGGAGTCTATAGCGAACAAACATAGTGACAGGAGATTTTTATATATTAAGATTACTGTTGAAGGTTTAATATTTTATTTACTGACAACTCTGTAATATGCTCATTGTTTCCGTATTGTTTCCTACAAATAATATGCATGACAAAACAGTGTTTGCCGGGTCAACTATAATTAGTACGGGCCCAGCAAAGCGGGTCGGGTCTGCTAGTTTATAATATAAATATGAAAACCAATCTGCAAGGGTATACAAACTTCGGCGTGCCGAAGTTAGCTTCCTTTCTTGTTTTTTTTTTCGATTAATATTTATTGGTTTTATAAACTTTGCTGCTTTAAGCTTAATATCTACTATTCAATCATTGGTTCAATAACATGTAGCAGAGGAAACAATTCAAAAAAAATATTTAACTAGGTTATTCGCCGGGTGGCCAGCTCCCGTAACTAACATCAAACATAACATGGAAACATAACAGTAAACGATAAACAACAATTTTACAAAGGCATTTCATTTATTGGTGTAGGACTCGGGTTCTTTGCCTCCCTCTTAAGTTAAGAGTCTTAACCTATGTTGTAGTACAAAGTTTTGATTGTCATACGGGGGCTTCAAAGAAGCTTGTCCCGAAGTTTAAAGGACCTTTTGAAGTAGTAAAATGTCTAGGAAATGATCGCTACGTAGTTAAAGATGTCGACGGATTTCAACAATCTAGAATTCCATACACTGGTGTTTGGGCTGCAGCTAATATAAAGCCTTGGTTTGGTTGGTCGAAAGTTGAAGATGAGGATACAAATAAAGTTGAAGATGAGGATACAAATGAAGTTGAAGATGAGGATACAAGTGAAATGGAAAATGAAGAAACTAATGAAAGAGAAGAAAATGAAAATACAAATGAACGAGTTATCAAAAGGAATACAAATGATATGTTTGATGAGGCGAATGAAGTAGTAGAAAACCACATAGTAAATAGGCCAAATAAAAACACTAACTTAGAAACAAATGAAAGAAATATTGTTAAAGAGAATTAAAACGTTTGGAGTAAAAAGGATAGTTACTGTAGTAATAAGGTAGTCAAAGTGTATAAGAAGCAAAACCAAAAGAAAATAATGTAACTCAAAACTCAACCAGGATCAGGAGATCCTTGTCGGTCAGGACGGCAGAGTTGTAGTAGCCCTAAGCATAAGTTTGTACATACACTTTTATAGTAGCCCTAAGCATTCATTCCAAAGCCGGATGGAAGTGCACCTCAGAGTACGGCGCACAGCAATAAGAACTCCTCCTCGTCAAAAAATTTATTATTGAAGAAGTACTTGTTGAGCCAAGTTTCAACTAGAATAATGACATCATAATCGCAGGACGATGTGGCCAAATAGACAGCGCCAGTCTTTGTACGCATGCCAGATATATTTTGAAAATATATTTTCAGGCTGGGGGAATCGCTATTTATAGGGGAAGGAGAAGGTTGCGCAGTTTCTGAATAAGCGTGGGGCACCACCAGATCATCTATTGCAAAGTTAGGTGAGCCTCGGTGCGGTTTATGAGCAGCTAATCCAGAGGCAGCCTTAAATAGCGACATAGTTCCAACCTTAATTGGTTTAATAAAATCCAAGTGTGCCGAAGCAAATTGAAAAGAGCGAATATAATCTCTTAAGAGAGCCAGGCATGCAGAGAGCTGCAATCCAGCAGCAAAGACATCAGCCTGCATCAGCTGTTGTTGTTGATGGGCGAATCCATAAAGAGCATCAAGTGAGCGCCCCCAGCCAGCACACAGCATCCAA